GCATGGCTTTAATCCTGATATAAAATATTCACTCTTCGCTCTCCGAGCATGCGCCGCGTTCCGAATCCCAGGCTTTTGTCGATGTGAAGGCAGTTTTATTTACTCTGACGTAGGTCATTGTGCCATTATGGGAGCTTTCATCTTAGTCTTAGTTGATTCTAAACATGTCGATGCTAATGAACGTTTTAAAATACATATTTGAGTTTTTCGATAAAGTTTGATTTTTGTGCAGGGTATGTAGCGTAAGTCAGGTTTAGTTTGAGATGGATTCTTTTCTCGGCATTCTTTATGTATAAAATAGTTTAGGCTGTGCTTAATTGCGATTGCCCTCGATCGGACGTCACAAATGCTTTGCTACGGCGCGATGCTCGCACACTCGAAGAAAAGATATGTTAGTATTCTAACAACAATATCGAGTTAATAATGAGATTCCTTATCGTGTTACAGATATATTTTTGCGGATTTAGAAGATTCGAGGGATAATTTTATACTTAGGCGTCTCCTATGTCTCCAATTTCGCCGACGCTGTTTTTCCCATTAATGTCTGTAAATTATTCATTTAGTTGGTAATTGTTTGCACAGGCGTTCACGTCACGTCCTATAGGCGACCGCGTCGTTCAGATATCCTGCAAGAAAGAAGAGAGTTGTTTATCGGTGCGAGATTCACGTGCTGAAAGTGATCTGGATACATGACTTGTTTTCTTTTTTTTATAGCGGTTCTGTGCCGTGCGGCAACACCGAGAAATAACCAATCTGTGTTTGGTGAGTGGATGGCAGGGGATGATTTTCGTTCGAGACTTAAACTGCGAGTACGACAACGGAATAGTTTTTTCGCGTTTCAGAAATAGACGAGTCGTAATTACATTACTCCACTATCTTAGGCGCTGTGATATACACAAGCCCGTTCACTGTGTGTGCTGTCATTTAGGAACATCACGGGTAATGAACGAAACGACAGTATAGGAAGAATCTTGAGAGATTTGACCGTGTCTTGAAAGTATTAAGCTTTAGGCAAAGGGAAGCAGCTATGTGCCACCTGACGAATTTCTCCGGTTTCGTGTATACTGAGTAGTTGACCGGGGAACGCACGTTTTACGGTTCTCGTTACAAGCAGGACTCGTGTCGAGATGACGGCCGAAAGATAAATTTGCACCATATTGTCTATCGTTGATTCAATTTGCATTATTTGCCTTTTATTAGGTACGAGCCTGCCAAGGTTGGACAAGCGCCTATGTAATAATTGTTTTTCTTCACAATCTCTGGATGATGGCCACCTTACGTCTATTCTATCGCAGTTCGCAGCTGTAAACGAATTACACATTTCGAGCATTATCTCCATCGCGAGCGTCGAGCCGCGCTCTTTCTTGTGAGAAATCCGAGAGAAAGCTAGTAGTGCTGCGAATTGGGACTATTTTAGTCGTGTTATATCTCGTTTAAGGGTAATATAAGCGTTAATTCAAACACAAGGATCGCAATTACCCACGTTATTTCCACGGAGAGTGCGATAAAATCTCGATTAATCTATTACATAAAATTGTTGAAGAAGCTAGTAGTGTAAACTCTCTGCACTACACACATCGCAACGACACGACACACAACCACACACAACACACACCACAACCACACACACACACACACACAACCACACACCACCACGCGGCGCGCACTACACACACGACACACACACACAAGGCAACGCCACACACACATACTAGTTATATTAATTGTATATATATTATTTATATACTATACTATATATTTACTATATATATATACCTTATACATGCAGATGTACGCGCACCGATTCCATATCTTCTATAAACATTAACTAAACAAACAAGATTCAGACGAACATCGAATCAGATATTCGTTCGTCGGCGATTCTACATCGTACGACACTAGCTGTAACCTTTAGCTTGTCGTGAACTCTGTGTGGCCGACGTGACAGGAAACGCTGTCAGCAGTGCGTATATACGCGTGTCATTCGCGTTCAGAGGGAAGGCGGCCGCGCCGATAACTAAACATTCACCAGTATATACGAGAAGAGACTTCTAAAATATGACACTTAATTTTATTTACGATGTGTAATTTAGAACATGCAGGAGGAGTGCAATGCTTACACACCGTCTTTCATTGTCGTGCTTTCAATTCGCGTTACGCGCATGCTAATTCCTAAATTATTACCGGATTATAAATTTATACGCTAATATATAGGCGAGCGATCAGTTACAAATAAGTTCACTCAGCTCAGCTCACCCGCTGTAGCAACAGCGCAGAATCCTAGCAACAGAAGGAAGCTTGCTCCGGTCATCGCGTGGACGTGAAGAGGAAAACCACTAGCAGAGTGAAAATAGAATTTGGTTGACGGACGCACGCGGGTGCTTGAAGTTACGACGCGATAGACAGCTATGCACTCAACTAATTGATACACGCACTCAAATGCATCCGTATTGGAGCAAACCACTGATGGGCTAACAGAGTTTTGCCAATCGAATGCACAGGGCAAGGTTCATCGCAGCATATATGCTGTAATGTAGATGCTATCGACGTGTAAACAGTGAGAATGCCTGTGTTGACAGCCATGCACGTTATTAAGTGAAAGTGCTCTCTCCACGGCAATCAATTGATCGATAGGCGACAAACATCGAACATAGAACACGGCTGATAAAGTTGTCACTGACACAGACACACACACACACACACGCACGCACGCACGCACGCACGCACGCACGCACGCACGCACGCACGCACGCACGCACGCACGCACGCACACACGCACGCACGCACACACGCACGCACACACACGCACGCACGCACACACGCTCGCTCGCACTATTAGTAGTTTAGCGGTGTGAGAGCCGACGTGACGCGGATTCTAAATCAGCCATACGTCATCTATCTCCCATTGCTCAGGCCCTTAGCTAAGCTTGCGTTAGAAGCATCAGTCGTGATGGCATAATTATGCTACCGGGAGGGGAACGGTTACCGGGCGATAACCACACAAATAGCATTGTTAATAAAATATAATTGAGGATAATTAATTATATATAATTATGCTACCGGGAGGGGAACGGTTACCGGGCGATAACCACACAAATAGCATTGTTAATGCAATATAATTGAGATTAATTAATTATATATAATTATTAGCCTGGCGAGATTTTACGTGTTTGCAGGTGTGACTCGTCCGTTTGATGTTCGTTATATCGATTGTTCGTTCTCTATTTGTTGCTCTATTGTGATAATTAGGTGGAAGGGTTTGTGCTGCGTTGTTTTGCAGCCGCGCGTCCGTAATTCTGACTCTGTATGAACCTCCCGACGTTGTTCCTTCTCATCGCCGCTTAATCATTGGCGTCGTCGTTGATGAATTGTTCCCGCGGTTCGTGCAATGGTTGCTGGTATTTTTAGTGTCACCATTGGTGTCGTCGTCCATGATGTTGGCGATGTCATCAACGTCCCATTTTGTTGTCATTGCCAGTGTTGTCGCGTGTCATCGTTTCATCGTTGTTGTTCACTCATCTCTCATCATTATGGATTGCAATCGGTTGTTCGGGTGGACAGGTAACGAGTCAATGTGTTTATAACAATTATTAATTCATATCTATATCTATATCTATATCTATATCTATATACATGCACATTAAGTGCTCCGTCGCGTAGGTAGCAAAAGACCCACCAACCCTGTAGTCCCACCACCACCCTGACATTTGCCCCCGACGCTCACGTTCTCAGTGGCTGGGTCCCCGAGTGAGTCCGACATACGATTGGTCCTTGAAGTGACGTGACCACATCCACAGTGTGCACATGCCCAACTTTTTGTTGAGTGCAACCCCAGTTTTTAAAGTCAGAGGAGGGGGGGCGATTTTGCGAAATTCCGAAGGTTTCACG